CAAAGATCGGTTCTTCAACACTATTAATAGTTAAACCTAGGGATGTCCCGATCCAGGTTTTTTGGCTCTCGATACAATTCGATTTTTTTTAATGATTAGTCTTTATGATACCGATCCGATAGCTTTATTTCTTTATTTCTTTCTAAGTGACAAGGTTGGTAGCATTAAAGCAAACCCTGCTGTTCCCACCACGAGAAACATCCAGTTTGCAGATTTTGCAAGATGCAGTTTCAGCATCATTGTTTTCCTTTGAAAACTGTTCCCACACTGTGGACATGGTTGCATACTTGTATGCGTCTTGATTTCTTAACAGCAGTTGTAAAGCATGATGAAGCTAAAAACTMTTGCGAAAACTGGATCGGCCCGATCACATGACTAAATCTGATTCTACCCGATTTTCAAAAAATGGCCATATCTGCCACCGATACTGATACTGAGTATCTGATCGGGACATCCCTAGTTAAACCTACTCCAAAAAAAAAAATCATACTAAACCACATATTGTCGTGTCATCTCATGACTCATTTAAACTCAGCATGATAAAAAGGCTTTTGGAGAATCATCATTTAAGTATTAAGCTATTTTTTATATGATTTGGGGGAGGATTATGCAATAATCACCTTTTTTTAAAGCTTTATATCATGTTATCAAATCATGTATATTATGTGTCAAAATCATACCAGGAGTGTTGTTTTGACTCATTCATGAATGTTTGAGAAATTCTTGAATCTCCTGTGGTAGCCATGTGGAGCTGCCTAAACACTTACTAGTAACCAATGTGTACAGAGCTCCTCTCCTGCATCCCGCAGAGCACCCCTCCCCCACAGCATTGTTGTGCAGACTTGCTGAAGTGGGAGTGTCAGCAACGGTAGGAGCTTCTTAACCCACCTGTTAAGTTTGTTTCTGAGAAACAGCTATTGTTCCTGTGTCAGTTTATCATGCATTAATGTCAGAAACTAAAAAGGTCACCCAAAACATTGTTGTGTCTGATTATTGGCTCCTTTGCTGACCATTTCAATCAATATTTGTGTGTTAATATTTTTTATATTTCTCACAGATAAAGGATCAGTGAGGACAATTCACTAATTGTTTCATAAAAAATGCACATTACTTTTTTATA